GTGTGTGTGTGTGTGTGTGTGTTGGTTGGCTTTGCTAAGGGGCTCTGGGTTCAGCCACCCAGGGCAATCTGCCCAGTGATGCTGGGACACATGTGACCCCCTTCAGCCCCACGGCCTGGATTACTGTTACCACCACTACCGCTGTGTATGTGTGTGTGCGATGGCTGTTTCGAGGGAAGAGAGTTGCTTGTTTCTGCATGTTCTGCAACACACAGAACCAGCCGCACGCTTTTAATCTCCTTCATCCTAATCATCAGCACTTTTAACCATTACCAAAATCCCAAAGTCACTTCTAAAGCCCAAGGGCCAGGGGAAGTAAATTAGTTCTTTAGCCAACCCCAGCATATTTACAACACCGCTTTATAGTTGTTATGATGTTGATGAATGTGCACTGCCCCTGCCAAATAAACTTATAATCGAGTGATAAAATAATGAATGAATTCCGAGTGGAACAACAGTCCGTGACGCCTGCCAATTTCCTCACCTCTCCCGTGTGTGTCAATTTGTGTGCGCACACATCTGCCCTCCCCTGTTTACTGTCTAGTGGTAGCAGTGTGTGTTTAATGCTCACTTGCACATGCAACGCAGGAGATACATTAGGGCCCACACACTCTTAACACACGTGTCCGACAGAGATGGGAGGGGAGGTCAAGACCCCCGAGGCTCGTTTATGTGTGCAGACATCTGTTAAGAACGTGCGGCTGCTGGAATAGACCTGTCTGTTCGCATGTCTGTATTTTCACAGTCCAGCTGCATACCTGTGTCCATCTGCAGGAAAGAAAGGAAGAGAAAAGAAGAGAAAAGAGGAGAACAGAGGAGAATGCAGCCGACTCGGGTCCCCTCTCCTTTCTGTGGCCTTTCCATTCTGCCACATCAGCTGAAACCTCTTTTTCACAGCTCCTGTTGCTCTCAGCTCATAAACTTACATACACACGAGGGGAGGAAGAGAAAGAGGGAGACAGACGGGTGGGAGTGAGGGTGGGTGAGGGGCACTTGCTTTAACAGGCAGCTCAAACAAGCAATATACGGTTCATATTCGTCCCTTCTCTTCCTCCTCCTCTTGTTCCTACACGCGCTCGTCCCTAAAAAATACACATTTAAATAAAACTACCCGGTGGATATTCTCTAATCATTTGCCCGGGGGATGCGTGAAGAGCTTACGAGGCGCCTGCTCGCTTGTCCACGCGGCCCGCAAAGGCTTCACATGCACTGTTCGTGTAGGTGGCGGGGTGGGTGGGTGTGGGTTTACCTACCTACGTGAAACTGGCTGTGTGTTTCAAACATACAAACAACCGATAAACGGGTTATAAAATGTTGCTCCTTTGGTATATGGCACCTCTTTTGACCTACTAACACTTATTCCACTCTCCAGTCCCAGAATGCCCTCACCAAGAACATTTCCAGTGATTTTTTTCTTTTTTTTTTGTAGTCGAAACACTTAGCCTAGTTAGCTAGTCTTTTATCCGGCGCCAATTAGCCAGCGATTAATGAATTATTGAGAAACGGGAAGGGGGGGATTAAATTTTAATGTGGATCTTAGGGGGAATAGTTGTATTACAAGTCACCGCGAGCGCCGAGTGCAGAGACGCCCACCCTCGGCAGCCGTTTACAATAATCTACAGCCGTTTACTGAAGTATGGAAAGAGAGGAAGAGAGGAAAAGAGGGACTGAGAGCAGAGGGAGGGGTGAATGGGAGGCTTTGGCCTTAAGAACAGACGCTGAAATCGAGCTTGCAAAAGGGCCAAAACCTACAAAACTCCATATGCTGCGATCAGAAAAAGTGGCCCGGGCCAACGTTCTCTCCACTTATTCCATTTTCTGCGTGTGTTTGTCCACCAGTGCGACTCGCAGTGTGAACCCAGGTGTGTGGGTCACCTGCCCCCCCGGCGTCCCCTCCATTCTCACCTTCACCGCCCCACCCCCAGACTCCTGAGCGGTAATGTAAGATTCGATCTTTCATTAGGGCGGCCGTGTAAGGCCAATAATAGCAGATGCTGAGATAAGGATAATGGGGGAGGGAGGGAGGGAGGGGGGTGTCGTTCTCCCCAAGGTGACTGTTCTGGTTCAGTTCTCTCTTCCTCAAGTAGAACCTGTATTGGCACTTAAGTCTTAACTTGTATTGATTTACGTAGGGTTAGGACAGTCTCTACCCCCCACTCCTGTTTCTCTTTCCCCTCCTGCCACCTCTCTCTGTTTATGTTCCTTTTCTTTCAGGAACAGTGATTTCAGCTGATGGAGCAGTCAATAAAAGGGTGGGTGCAGCATTTGAAGAAGCTCTTAAAATAGTATTTTTTACTGTAACTTACGTCAGCCAGATCGTTTTGTTTGATATGTATTGGGAGATGTCTGCGTTCTCCACTACACCCATGGGTGCCTGTTATTCCTCCTCACCTCTACACATCTCTGGGAGCATCAGCGGCTGCTGTAGGGCCATAATTAGTGGCTGGATGTGACACATGTTTCCAATTTGCTACGTCTGTTCACCGCGCCGGAGGAGGCGGGTGTGGGGAGATGGACTGAGGTAGAGATGGAGACAGACAGAAGGTGACGTGAGGCATGAGAGGGATGGAAGCAGAGGAGGACAAGAGAGAAATGAGGGGCGGCGTGAGAGGAAGGTGCGAGGGTGAAGAGTTGAGGGAGCTGGAGATTGCTCACGGAGGTGGAAGGAACGATGGGAGGAGGAGAGGTGGAGGGCGACTGCAGGTGGACGGTCTGAACTTCAAAGCTGCACATGCAGCAGAGGTCTGGAGGTTAACAACGTGACACTCCATTTGCTACACAGACGAGATGTGAACCATACATGCGCTCGGCACCTGATTGATTCAGACAACCGCTTCTGCAAACTTTTCACCTCATTTCAGAAGAACAAACCAGATGTGGGTGGGCTCTGGACAGCGTCCATGGAGGATGTGCAGGATTTGAACGAGCATGGGATCCTATTTCAGCCCAGGGCCCAAACCTACTTTGCCCTGAGGCCGCTGGAGCTCTTGTTGTGTGGAGAGCAAGAAGAAACAAATACATGAAAGTGTGTAAAAGGGCCAAGAAAAAGGAACTGGAGGAATGACTAAGCTGATTAACTATGAATAAGCTTCATAGTATACAATAAGGCTTTGTATTTTCAATGTACGAGTGAGAGAATCTGAGAAAATGACGACAGAGTCTGGCGTCAAAGCCACCACCCCTCTAATTACCAGCCAGGCCCATTCACTAAGCCCCGACACCCACCTAACACCAAACTCCATTAGGAGACAATGGCGTGGATTCACCTGTAAGGCCCCAAAAGCCTCGGCTGTTAGCTTCTCAGTGAAAATTACCCTCCCGTGTCCTGCTCCCCGTTGGGTGAATCCACCCACTGCTGACAATAAGCCCTCATTAAGGGCTTCATGCCTGGCTCCACAGCGGGGGCCCACGCACAGTCACATCTGTGGAGAGGGGTGAAACCGGGCAGGCCATAGCCTCGAGCCGACACGGACACATTAAAAACCTGTAGGTCTCTGGTAAAGCCGGTGGCGTGGGTGTGACCCAGGTACAGGAAGTGCCACAATTTATTCTTTTTAAAATCAACAATACGGGAAAGGTTGTGAAAGGAAAGGTGAATTCAGGATTTGACAATCAAGCTGAAAATATCACTATCGTCCACAAATTGCAGTCAGGGTTTGTAAAAATCACTTTAACATTCTCTTTCTCCAGCATACAAGCCCCCTCCTCTGCTCCCACCGCCACCAGGCGTTGGGTCCATTCAGAAACAGAGAAAAAAATTGGCAGAGGTGTGAGAAAAGTGGTGGACAGCCGAGAGGTGTTTAAAATGACATTTCCTCGGCTAATGCCTGACACCTTCTCCAGAGGACAGAGGGAGAAAAATGCTAATGAGTCGTGGCCAAGTGGGCTCACAGGGTGTTGGGAGAGGCCTGCAGGGGGGGGGGCTGGATTTCAATCAAGGTCATCTAGCTACAGCAATTTAGAGCATCACACATCTTTATTACCTGACACACACACACACACACACACACACACACACAGTTTACAGGGACTTTACCGTTAAGAAGAAGTGAGGCTGGATTATCAACAGTAATCAATGCGAGTTTGGCAAACTCACAGCAGCTGTGGAGCAGAGCAGCTCATCAAGGTGTGTGTGTCTGTGTGTGTAAGCAGGTGTGTGTTTGTGTGTTCATCAGATCACACTGGCTTCAACGAATAAACTTAATAATGGTGGAGAAGAGAAACTGACCAAATATGAATCATAATAAAAAGATATTCTGGGGGTTGTCTGCTGCAGGCCTCTCTAACTTTGTTGTGTTTTCTATGCCATGCTAAAAGTCACTCCGAGCAACCTTCATTAAATGTCTAAATCCCATCCTCGGCTGCACGAGTCGCGCACATGCACTTCAAACTAATTATTTCAGCTTCCTTCCCTCGAGTTCAAACCTGCAAATGAGGCAACCGATCAAAAAAAAAAAAGAAAAGGAAGAGGCTGCATGTGGGAGCTGCTCTTACCTTTCGTTCAGGGAATTCCAGTAGATGGGCTCCATGTTGCTGGCCGTCGTCCCCAGTAAATCCAGTAAGAAAACCAGCAGGATCCCCAAACCATTCCCACTCCCTCGACTCGCCATCTCAACCCCGACACCCAGCCTACGTAGCCCCATTTAAAAAGAATAACAGATAAAGAACAGAAGCCGAGGGTTGTTTCTCTGTGTTCTGCGCTGCTGCTGCTGCTGCTGCTGCCGCGGGGAGACTCTGAGACACAGCGGGCACAGCCGAGCCAGGCTTGTAGGTAGAGACAGTCAGAGAGCGGAGGCTGCCGTGCATCCAAAATTCATCGAAATGCACAAAAACACGCTCGCAAATGTGCAGGAGAAACTTGTCCAATCCGTGCGTCCGCGTCTCCAAAAAAAAAAACTATTTCAGTGCCATGACTTTCCCAGCAATCAATAGTCCTTTGTGTTTTATTTTCTTGCAAAGCACAAATATAACTCCACTGTATGGATTCTTTTCTGAGAGGTACCGCCACCCAGCAGGCGCTATTCCTACTGCCTCTCCGTGCGCCTTGATTGTCTCTCCCCGAACAATGTTCCCTTGTTCTCTGCACAGACTCTGCGCGATTTCTCTCCCATTACCTTGTTCCCTCGCAAGATGATCCACGTCCCGACATAAGCAGTGTGGAGTGGGAGAGGTTTATTGTCTCGTGTGTGTCACGATCACGCAAAAAAAAAACAACCCGTGGAGGTGAAAGGGTTTAAAAAGGAAACGATGTCACTCGTGTCCACAGCTCCATCCTCAAATACGTGTTGATGCTCGGTGGGTTTCAGTCCGTGCGCATTTTATCCTTCTTCGCTCGGGGTGGTAAATCCGCAAATCCTTCTTATTGAGAATTAAACAAAAAACACACACACACACACAAAAAAACAAATAAGGGTCCAAATTAAAATCGATGATAAATCCAAGGATCGATGCGCGCAAGGAAACTGAGAGAGCAACAAACCAAAGCGCTAGAAAAGCATCTCCACTGCGATGGTGCCGCACAAAGGCCGACGTGAAACTTGGAAAGAAACGCAAAGATTGTGCGCATCGGTCTGTGCCGGTGGTGTCGCGCGTCGCTCGGTGAGCTGGATGGTTTTCGCAGTAACAAAAAAAAAGCGCGTTATCTCATCCGTGTGCGCGCCTCGCAGTCCCGCAGGTCTGACTGGTCCTGACGCTCGCAGCGCATTGACACAGCGACTGGCTCGTTGGAGAGAGGGAGGAGGAGGAGGAGGGGAAAAAGGGGGACGTGGATGAATGGAGAGAAGGGAGGGGGGGGACAAATCCTCCATCCTCAGACTGGCAGGAGCGCATTTCTTCCTTTTTTTTTATTGTGGGGCTGGGGCTGGGGCTGGGGGGGGGGTGTGGAGCCCCTTCATGCGCCTCCTCTCTCCTCCTCCTCTCCGGGGTTCACAGACTCGGACCTCTGGACTCCCCGGAGGTCTGTTCTGCCTCCCTTTAAAACGACGAAGAAGAAGCAGTACAACCCACCCCCCTCAACTCACCCCTGTCAACGCACAGCAACGCGCTCAACTCCACGACGGAAGAGCAAGAGCGCCCCCAATGGATATACTGGGCATTACAAGTGGCACTGGAAGAGGATTGGCTAGATAGATAGAAAGATTGATAGATAGATTGATAAATAGATTGATAAATAGAAAGATGGATAGATAGATCATGACAAAAAAAATTAAAATAACAAAGCATAGACCGATAGATAAATAAATTGATAAATAAATGGATTGATAGATAGATAGATCATGACAAAAACACCATTCAAGGAATAAAGCATATAAGACATACAGTATAACAGTGCAACAAGTACGTAGGTAGACAGGTACGGCAGTTGTATAAATAAGTTGTATAAATAACTAACTAACACCAGAGAGCAGATCGTACACAAACACTAAATGTCCCTGAACCCGATGCCCAGACCAGCTCACACTCTGAGTGCCTCGGCTCTGAGGTGTCTGCAGTTATCTGTTCAGCTTTTCCTGTTTACAGCACTGTCAAATTAATGGGAATCTATGTTTGGAATTTTACAACACAAATAACACAGTAAAGAACCTTAAATACCTCCCTTAAGAACCTCAGCCCTATGAGGTATGTAAGGCATGAGTATGAGAGTATCACATCACATCTCCATGGAAACCCTAAAGGAATATTATGGTTTTATTTTAAAGTGCAGTTACACATTTACACTGTGGGTAACTGTAGCACATTTCAAAACATAGTAATGAGGGAAAGAGACCAAGAGAGAAGAATCATGGTGACACCCATGATCATTAGACTGGAGTCACCTCATATGTCTGCAACCCAGACTAAACAAAAAGATTCCCCTTTCTGTGTGTGTGCGTGTGTGTGTGTGTGTGTGTGTGTGTGTGTGTGTGTGTGTGTGAGTCCCAGCATCCAGCACTTCAAAGTGGGCCGATCAGCTTGATGATGTGCAGGACGAGCTGGGTGACAGGCTCCTGCTGAGGGCCACACACACACACACACCAGTGTTTACGCTGGGGCCCTGGGAACACTGACAACACAGAAAAAGAGAGAATCATATCTGAAATTGTGTTTGGAAGACTACCAATACTGTGGCTGTGCTGCCCCCATGTGGTAGACAGAGTGCATGATTCAGACTACAATACATGTAGAATACACTGATAGACCAGGGACTGCTTCATACTTGAATCAGAACTTGTCTAGCTCTGGAGGAAGGTTTGAAAATGAAATCCAGAAAAGCCCTGATCACGTCATTGTGGTGACATCAGGCTCATCCTGGGCTGAGACTGGCTATAGAGAAAGGCATTATGGGAAATATAGCAGCTAGCATTTTTGGAGCTTGACCCACAGTCGAGAATAAAAGTGTTTTCAGACGCTAACTCTTCCTCAATCTGATCCATAAGCAGAACGTAGACATGAGAGTGGTATCGATCTTGAGCTGTTTTCAGACAATAAGCAGAAGGCAGTGGGAGATTCTAGTTCACATTAACAGAAACATTTCCAGAACATTCAGGCGAGTGGTGGAATCTGGGTAGAGCATGCAGGCGGCAGGGCGTGTCATATAAATTCCGCAGCGGAAAACACTTTTAGTTTATAGCTCATCAACACGGCTGTCGGCCCTTTATCACCAAAAGCTCACAAATCTCTTTTTCATCCTGAGATATTTGAATTCTTCCAGGTTCATGTCCGCTCCTTGTTAGGAACGTCATCGAGAATGGGAATTCTCTGGACATTTTCCCGCTGTATCCTGACGTGGGCTCACTCCGTCATTTTCCGGAAATTGTACCAGGAGGCTGGATGGAAACGTTCAGGAGAATGTACTGGCAACATTTTCTCTTGTTCACTTCAGTGCACATCTGAAAGCAGCTCAAAAGTCAGGATCTGGCTTCTGCTTCTCTAGTTTTGATGATTTTTTTCCGTTGGTTTTGATCGTCGCCCAACCTAATGGAGGAGCAATTCTAAATCATCGTATTTTGCTGGAGCATGGAAATGTTTTTACTGACATAAACTGACACAAAACATCACATTCTATTGAATTATTCAGATTTTGTGATTTAAAGGACCAAATAGTGTGACTCATTCAGCGCAAAGGCCTCTGTCCTTACTTGGCTTCCACCACCGCATGCAATACTTTTGTGAAGCAATCCGTCACTTCCCCCAAAGTGTACACAGCCAACACACGGTGAAGCGAGATACAAACAAAGAGAGGAAGAGAGCCGTAATATCTTTCATTGAAAATATTTCCCATAAAAACAACAGAGCGGTGGAAAAAAAACCTGATGCACCAAACACCTCCTGCTGTTCCTGCACAGCCAGGGAGGGAGAGGAAATAAATGAAAGTGAGACAGGGGAGGCACAGAGAGACAGGATACTAAAAACTATTAGAGGAAAGTCACGTCTACAAGAGGAGCAGACGTGCAGCTGGCACGGATTCAGTGTCTTGCTGAAGAGCACCTCAGCAGCACAGGTGACTGAATTGACAGGGGCTAAAACCAGGATTGTCTGGCTGGAGGATCGTCCGCAAGTATTATTTAAAGAAGTGTAGAGGTTTCCTCTGCGTTGCAAAATTACAGCATGCCTCCAACAAGAAACCTAATTGAAGGTTAGAGAATCCAAACGAGAAACAAATACAGCAGGGAGGTTTTATAGAGCTGGACAAGGAGAGAGAAAGAAAGAAAGAAAGACAAAAAAAAGAGTGGAAGAGAGCAGAGATGGAGCTGGTTGTTGTACGCTGACCTCTGGAAACCTTGGCAGGGCCCATGACAGAGCTAAATGTGGTGGAGGAAGGCAGACTAGTTCAGAGACAGCGGCGGTTCAGAGGTGGAGCTGGCACGAAAAAACAAAACCTCTAGCTCTGTCTGGGAATCTGCGTGAAAGCTTGTGCAGGAGATGACTCAGTTTTTTAAAAAGTGAAGTGCTATAAGGAAACACCTACATCTGATCTGCTGAATAACTGAACGCACCACTGACATGTCTTCATCGGCACTGGGTGGATGAGTAGAGATAAAGACAGACAGACAGACAGACAGACAGACAGATAGATAGATAGATAGATAGATAGATAGATAGACAGATAGATAGACAGATAGATAGATAGATAGATAGATAGATAGATAGACAGACAGACAGATAATATACACCCTTGGCTGCTATGTGTGTGTTTATTAGTGCTCATTTATTCAGGCTGACCTCATTTACTGCGCCGACCTTCAACTCTTTTTCATAACTGCATCTTCTCCCTGGTGACTCTCACTGCAGTCTGCTCCAGCTGCCAGACACACACACGCACACACACACGCACGCACGTACGTACACAAAAAACAGACATGCACATTACTTTCACACTGCATGTACACAGTAGATGTAAACATAGGCAATTATAGAAAGTGCATAGTTAACATCATATGTAGCATGAGGGTTAAGTGTACAATACACACACAGACCAGAACAGACCCATGCAGTGGAAAGAACTCAGACAGGAAAACATGCACCCTGATGGGAATGAAATTCACACCGAGGGTGGTACACTGTGTGTGTGTGTGTGTGTGTGTGTG